GTGTAAACAATAAATTCACATTATATTTTTTTAATACGTGTAATAATAATATAATTGTTTTGCAGTTTATCGGAATGTATTATTTGGGACGATTATGCTAAATTTTGTCATTTTGAATCTAAAGCAGTAATATGTTCACAAAGTGTACTAAAAATGAATTAATTGAAAAATTTTTTAATATTTTTAAATCACGTTAATTTTAAAAGTTTCTAATATTCCATCCACATTCGCATTGATCGATGAAATTGGTCTTCTTTGCAGTAAGGTAATACTTTTTTAAGTAAATTTTAATTCGCTGGGTTTTGCTATAATTTTATCAGATTATATGAAGAAAATTTAAAGAAACTAGAATTAATAGAGAAATATCGGATTTGATATAAGACTGTACTTTAAAATTAAGAACAAATGTAAAAATTTTTACACAAGAATATTTGGAAATGGTTGTGTAATATAAATTGCGCCAAGTCTTGCATGTGAACGGAGCTTAAGAAGGCGCGCAAGCATGCACGCGACCATCTCGACCAGCCCAGCGTCAACACCAGTACTTACCGGGTGGATAACATCCGGCTTCCATCGCATCGGTTAAACGACACGGCGCTTGATTCATTCATGAAAAACACGAGACTTTATCCCAATTAACACGAATCTCCACTCAATTCATGCGACCGCAACGGTGGTCATTAATTTCCCGCGGTGCCACTCGTGACCGCTTCGTCGATACCAGCGGTTCGGACACAGGTTCGAGAAGACAAAGGGGACATACGAACGTGGAGGAAGGTTGCGGAGAGGGTAGAAAATGCCTAGACCTCGCTGTACTCGGAGTCTTTCTCTTGATCTATGTACCTATCTTCTATCCGGCAAGCGCTAACTACATCCGAACATTATAAGCCGTACATTATAGCTCGCTAGTCTGACAGTATTTGTAGTTACTACCTGGGACCTTGGGTGATAAAGACGTGGCGCTTTCTGAGATTATTTTTCCTAGTCATTTCTATTGTACTTCACGTCGGAGAACTTTTTTCTCACATACCTAAATATTTTATTTATTAAAAATCGTAAAAAAATACTTATATTTTATAAAGATTTATGAAATATAAAAAAATTGTAGTATTTCATAAATATTAATATGTTTTTACTATTTTTTTTTAATAGCAATTGAATATCATCGACAATCTTCTTACTCTGTGAAATAGAACTAAAGTTATCTTTAAGTGTTTTATTTTATATTCTACTTCTTTCCTTTCTTTTTGTAAGAATTAAAACGTAATTTTTAAGATGAATGTCATAAATTCGAAGAAATAGGAATACCATATAAGTAATGAATTTTAATAATTTAAATTTTGAACTCTAACTGCTATTAACTTCTTTCTGTATTCTTTATCTGGCTTTCAAAATTTATCTCTTTGTTTAGATCCGTTTCTGTATCTATATTCTTATTCATATATTATTATATGTAATGATGTTTTTCCTTGGCAATTTTTTTCTTCACCAACATCATTGGTTACACCTTATCTCTTCTCTTCGCGAGCACACACTCATCTCCCAACATGCTATACGCTTCACACGTACACGCTCTATCTTACGCGACGTGTCACAGCCGCTGGCTTGTCGCATTTTCGACGAGACGTGGAATTCGGCCTTGACAGGTAGATAAGACGAGATGGTGAAAGAGAGCCACGCCGCGTACAGTCGTGGCTCTCTTTTCCGAGACGGGACTCGCCCATCCTCTCGGCGTCATCGCCACTGTGAATTTTCCCCCCTCGGCACTTTTTCTCGTGAATCGATACCGCCGTCGTCGCTGCTGCTGTATAAACCGGTCCACTTTAAAGGCGCATAGTAGCGCCGATCGCGAATACTCTAGAACTGGGCCTAGCAGAGGGATATCTTTGGAGCCGCGTGAGAGAAAATCTTTCCTGCGATCCATGATGCTGTGGTATGCCTAATACGATCGCATAGCAGCGGCATCCGGCATGTATGCGGCCCGTGTAGGAGCGTATGCATGAGTCGGATGTTCGTTACATATGATACAAACATTTGCTTTTAATTGGCTGACGTTATAACGCATCGATCCAATTAGAGGCCGGGCGGAATAAATCGTTTAATCGGTGACAATGATTTACATTCTTCTTGTATCTCGGAGGAGTCGTCTATGTGTCGGGTTCAGGCTTGCGTAATCTTTCTTCCTGCTGTGGCAATTATCACGGATATGTAGTTGGACGCAACTGAAAGTAGAGTATCGTCTAGTGGCTGTCGACTGATCACGATATATATATGGCAAATTATATTGTTTCACAATTAACATGTTTCGAGCCGACCGACGGTCAGCATTAAATAAATTATTAAATTGGTTTCAACATTATTAAAGAACTACGTCCGTAAACAGATTGATTAAAATGATAGGGAAAGTCGGAAGTTGCGGATCTGCGTATAGACTGTTTTTTATCCTAAATCGGACAATGTAAACGACGAGTATATGGCTTTAAGAGTCGCCGTGAGAAAATCGTGATTTGCAATATGACTTTCAGTTTTCCCAGGTGGATCTTCTCTACAGTGAAAGTCCGCAGAATCATCGGACGTATCCGTAGAAAGTACTTCCGCTGGCATCTCGTTCATAGGCCGCCTACAATATTTGGAGATTAATTGTAATAATTCTTCGATAATTTTTACAGAAATTCAAAATACTGACCGATTCAATACTGAAAGATAGTGGTTAATTATCTATTTTGAATATTAAAATCACCGTTGTTCAGTACTTAATAAATAATTAATCACCGTCTTCTGGCATTAAATTTCTGTAAGGGAAAAGATTCTCATGTTATGTTTTCGAAGTGCAAAATGAAAAATATATGAGAAATAAAAAAAATATTTTAAGTATTTAAAAGTTTATAAAGAAGATATCATTGCTATTAACTTCAATTAGTGCTAATTGTTCAATTCGGTTAATTTCTTAAATAAATATTTATTTAATGAATATTTTTTCATATTTAATGATATTAATACAGAGCATACATGTAACATTCTAGTATTTAGTGTAATATCTTTTTGTAAAAAAATAATACTTTATTATTTTTTAAAATTTCTTTTAATTAGTAGTAAACATGAGAATCTTTTTCTATCTTCTTCAGAACGTTTCAGAACGTTTCGCTTTTTTATTTATGATAAAATTGCACTATGCCATAATTCCGAGAATATTATCATTGTATAAACGAGTGATGACACCACGCAATTTACCACTGACGCAACTTGGTAAACGCTACGCGATGTTTCAAAAGCGCTAATACGCAATGCGGATTCATGTGTGATTTCTTTAACGGTTATCAACTGTCGGACGAAAGTTCAAAGCGTCCTACGCTTAAATCGTCGACGAACTTCCTCCACGGCAGACCCGGAAGACGGCCGAACACAAGCTTTACATGTAACCGTTTATCTACGTCGCAAGTCGTGGTCGTCAGTCGACCCGATATTTGCGGCGAGTAGAATATGAAGAAGCCGCCGGGATAATACGGCTGAGTACAGTGGCCCTGATGAGTCGTTCTTCCTTTTAGCGATAGACACAACACGAGTACGAGAACTAACGTTTGAGAAAACATGCACTCAATCATACTTGAATGAGCGACAATTAAAGTTAACTCGCGTTCGCTTGTGGGACTGTTCTGTCTTCGCGCAATTGTTTAGATTACACTGGCGGAACTGATTCTGCAATAAGCAACAATTTTCTGGCTACGTAAAACTGTTGCGTTGAGGTCGATCAGCGTTAACTATGCGTATAACTAAATATAAATCTTATTTAATTAAGCTTAAATTCTTTTATTTTTGTGTATCGACAATAATATTATGCAACCGTAATTTAGCAAGAAAAGAGTTGAGTGAGAGAGAGAGAGAGAGAGAGAGAGAGAGAGAGAGCAAATCATCAGCCGAAGTTAGTTAAACTCTGTCAGAAAAGATTCACACTTATGTCTCCGATAAAGTAATTAACAGGTTTCTTGATGCGATCACCATCTCGCGATAGAAACACGTTGTAGTTTAATCACACTTTGGAAAAGGAGCGGAAAGATATCACAAGCTCACATTTGCTCGCTCGTGCGTTCTCATCATCACCGATGTAACATGAAGGAAACGCCTAATGGTCCGCGAAGTCGACCATCGGTTACGCGACCGCATATCACCAGTCGGCCGGTGAAAACAAGACGAGAACAGGAGAAACGCATTATGGGGAACGAGTGCACGAGCATGCACGTCGATATCGACGATGTCCGTCCGAATTAATCATCGGCATAGTCCTGCCGCCGAACGCTAATGCGATCAGTTAATCAAACCGCGTGCGGAACGATAATTATCTGTATTTGATCTCAGATCTTCAAGGAAAAGTGGCAGACCAATGGCGTAAAATCCGGATATGCAAAAGCTGCGTCCTTCCTTTTACTCTTTAGAATACAGTAATTATATCTTAAGAGAGAAACAAATACATGGATTAAATGTGAAGACTTTTTTGTGAATACAAATCAACAACGGAAGCTGTAAAATATCCGAACAAATAGTACCGAGTGCCGTGGTGTTCACGCGTTGATAGAGTTTCTTGCAACTAAAAATGTTAGAGCCGTCGAAACTTTACGTAAACTACGTACATAGTTCGGAGAAGAGACGCTATCGACGGTGCAAGTGCGCAGTAGCACTCGATACTGTAGAGTGCTATTGCTTACATTAGTCTCTATTCATCTTTTTTTAGTTTCGAGAATGTCATGTTTTTTTTTCTATTACGCCGGAATTCGTTTGAATATACTTGTCGGACGTCACTTTCGCATGCACACATGATAACAATCTCTTATCAGCGACACGTGCTTGAAAGAATGCGAAACATGTTTTGTAAAATAATTATTTTTGTTATAAAAGAATATAATTGATAATAGGCTACACAAATGGCAAAACAGGTGTGTGCAATTATCATTAACATTCCTTAACAAATAGATCATTATTCGGCACAGTATAAATGTTGCTACTGCGACATGACGCGAACACAGTAAACGTTCATTATAGCAAGCAGTAGCAGCGCAAGATTGCAACATGAAATTATCAGTGGTGTTCTTGGTCTTGATGATAGTAGTATGTGCCATGTTTCAGGGATCTGTAAGTCTTAATCTAAACATGATCGTTTATCGATAAATTTCTGAAAAATAACGAAAGTTCCACTTTGTATGAAGGAATCCATTCCTCATAAATCTCGTGGACAGCGTGGACAGCGTAGAAACTGTAGTTCAACAACAGGTGCAACAACAGATGCACCAATAGCTACAACATAGGTACAATGGAAGAATCTTCCGCCACTACGACCGCAACGATGTAACACCACAATAACCAGGGATAAATTGAACTTGATGCCTATTTAGTCATGAAATAGAAATGTGTCTTACATAGCTGTTGTCTAGTTTTTTTTTTAGTCAGTTGTTAATCGGTAATATAAACGCTCAATTCTTCTAATAGCTATATAAAAAAATTAGCTAAAGATAGAGATAAAAAATTAAATGAGTAGTAGTCTATTCTAGACTGGACACAGCGAGTGCAAATAAATAGCAAAAAAAATAAAATAAAACATGAATCTTTTTATTATAATTTTTTCCTCTATCAAATTCCTAGTTTTTTAAATTCAAGATTCTGTATCTAACCTCTACATAGTTTTTATTAATCAGATTTTCTACACGGAGATAATTTTTTCTTAGAGTTTACCCTGAAAATATGATAGTTATGGGACAATATTATATTTTTTTTTCGAAGAATTTTAATATAAATTTCTTTTATTCATTAATAAAACTATAATAAAATATAAAATAAGTTTGATCAATTTTACTGAAATGGTAAAAATCATTAAAATATTGTATTGTACAAAAAAACTACCATAATTTCAGGGCAAATTTTAAAAGAAAATTCTCTCCGTGTATATATTTATTATCTTTTTATTTTTCTTAAGAAATGAATCGGTCAATATTTTCTGTTTCTAAAATTTTCTGCTCTACTTAATCACAGTACACAATTTTGAATTTGCAAAATTTTATATTTGATAAGACTTGAACTTGAAACTCTTGACTTTTGAGTTGATCATCTCATATATTGCGAAGCGCCACGAAGCGTATCGAAGTTATTTGCGTCGACCTGCCGTTCGTTCTGCGCATTGATGTTGTCCGCGCCGTTCATTCTACATGCATCGAAGTTGCAGCTACGTTCCACACACCAAAGTCACGGCGATTGCATCGCGATAAGCAGAGGCGAAAGTATAATTCGCCGATTATGACATGTATCTCTCACAGTCACGACGATTTTCGCGTTGTTACATACGTGATACGTAGAGTTTTGAGATTATCATATTTTTTTTTCTATTACATCGGAATTCGTTTGAATATACTTGTCGGATGTCACTTTCATATGTATACATGATAACAATCTCTTATCAGCGACACGTGCTTGAAAGAATGCGAAACATGTTTTGTAAAATAATTATTTTTGTTATAAAGGAACATAATTGACAATAGGTTATACAAATGGTAAAACAAGTGTGTACCATTTTTTATTGTCAATTTTTACCAAATAGATCGTTATTAACCGGTATAGTATAAATATTGCTACGGCATGACGCGATATAAATATTTACAGTGCAAACAAGTAGAAGCGCAAGTTTGCAATATGAGAATATCAGTGGTGTACTTGATCTTGATGATAGTAGTGTGTGCCATGTTCCAGGAATCTGTAAGTCTTAGTTTAAACATGATCGTTTATCGATGAATTTCTGAAAAATAATTCCACCTTGTGTGAAGGAATCCATTCCTCATCAACATAGACATCGTGGACATCATGGACATTATGGACACTGTAGACTAACCGTAACACCAATACATGTTACGACGCAGGAAGAATCTTACGCCACTATATAGCGGCGTCAGCACAATAACCAGAGATAAATTAAACCTTATTATTTTATGCCTATCTAGTCATAAAATAGAAAAGTTGCGTCTTACATAACTGTTGTCTAGTTTTTTAGTCAGTTGTTAATCGGTAATATAACGCTTCTCCTCACTTCTTCTAGTATCGTAAATGTGGGTGACTTGGGACAAGTGTAGGTGACTTGGAACAGCATGTATTTTCGTTAAAATTCAGTCATGAAATCTATTCATGAGTCTCTAAAGGAAGTTTAAAACTTAAACTTAACTTAACTTTCTTTAGAGACTCATGGATGGATTCCAAAATTGAATTTAACAAAAATAAATGCTGTCCCAAATCACCTACGCTTGTCTCAAGTCATCCACATTTACGGTAGCTATACAAAAAAAATTAGCTAAAACTAGGGATAAAAAGTTAATTAGTAAGTAGTCTATTCTAAACCAGACACAACGACTGAAATAGCAAATAAAAATAAAATAAAACATCTAACTTTTTTATCGTCTTTTTTTCTCTATCAAATCTCTTAGACAGTTTTTTTAATTCAGGATTCTGTATTAAGGATATCTAACTTTTAGATAGTTTCTATTAATCAGACTTTCTATAATATACTTATTGTTTTTTTTTTTTATTCTACTTAGAAATTCTTAATAATATTCTCCTTAAAAGATGAATGGGTCATATTTCCTAAAAATCTTTTGCTCTACTTAATCACAACACACAATTTGAATTGTATCTGGAAAAACATTTTATATCTGGTAAGACTTGAACCTGAAACTCTTGATTTTTGAGTTGATCATCTCACATACTGCGGAGCGCCACAAAGCGTATCGAAGTTGTTCGCGCCGACTAGCTGTTCGTTCCACGCATTGATATCGCCCCGCATCATTCGTTCTACACGCATCGAAGTTGAAATTTCGTTCCATACATGAAAGTTATCGCGGCGATTGCATCGCGATAAACAGAGGCTAAAGTATAATTTATCGATTATGACACGTATCCCTCACAGTCATGACGATTGTCGCGTTGCTACGTATGGCACGTAGAGTTTTAATTATCGTGTTTTTTTTTCTATTACGCCGGAATTCGTTTGAATATGCTTGTCGGACGTCACTTTCGCATGCATACTACCTTGATCAAAAAGTTCCCGGAATTACCACCAAGTGATGCTCTGAGTCAGCTGATTTAAGTTCTGTTTTTTTGATTAGGTTGCCACATCTATCATTGACAATTCCACCAAATTTTATCGCCATAGCTTGACATTTGTAAAAGTTACGCCGTCTTGAGAACATCTATCTCTGCACGTGTTTTCGATTTTTTACAGTTTTAAAAATGGAGTTGAATTTGCAACAACGTTTGTATTAAATTTTTTGACCAAGAACGAAACGAATACCATCCAACAGCCATCGAATTCACCCGATATGGCTCCCTGCGATTTTTTTCCGTTCGATCGAGTCAAAAAACCATTACTAACAATAAGAGGTAATGGAAAAATCGAAGACGGCTCTGATGGCTATACCGACAATAGAGTTCCAGAAATGTTTCGAGAGCTGGATCAATCGCTGGTATAAGTGCGTTACAGTCGATGGGGAGTACTTTGAAGAGGACAATATCACTTTTGATGAATAAACTTTGTATTTTGAATTTTCTGAATGAATTCCGGGAACTTTTGATCAAGGTAGTATATGATAACAATCTCTTATCAGCGACACGTGCTTGAAAGAATGCGAAACATGTTTTGTAAAATAATTATTTTTGTTATAAAAGAATATAATTGATAATAGGCTACACAAATGGCAAAACAGGTGTGTGCAATTATCATTAACATTCCTTAACAAATAGATCATTATTCGGCACAGTATAAATGTTGCTACTGCGACATAACGCGAACACAGTAAACGTTCACATAGCAAGCAGTAGCAGCGCAAGATTGCAACATGAGATTCTCAGTGGTGTTCTTGGTTTTGATGATAGTAGTGTGTGCCATATTTCAGGCAGAATGTTCATGGGTAAGTCTTAATTTTAATATGATCGTTTATTGATAAATTTCTGGAGAATAACGAAGTTGTTCGTGAAGGGATTTTGTAGAGGACGGAGACGGCGAACAACAACAACAACAACAACAACAGCAGCAGCAGCAGTAGAAGCAGCAGTAGCAGCAACAGCAAAAGCAGCAGTAGCAGGAACAGCAGAAGCAGCAGTAGCAGGAACAGCACACTCCTAGATGGAGCGAACAATAGCACTACTTAGTAATAACCAGGGATAAATTGAACCTGATGCTTATTTAGTCATGAAATATAAATGTTGTGTCTTACATAGCTGTTGTCTAGTTTTTTTTTAGTCAGTTTCTAATCGGTAATATAAACGCTCAATTCTTCTAATAGCTATATAAAAAAATTAGCTAAAGATAGAGATAAAAAATTAAATGAGTAGTAGTCTATTCTAGACTGGACACAGCGAGTGCAAATAAATAGCAAAATAAAAAATAAAATAAAACATCAATCTTTTTATTGTAATTTTTTTCTCTATCAAATTCCTAGTTTTTGAACTCAGGATTCTGTATCTAATCTCTAGATATTATAGTTTTTATTAATCAGACTTCCTATACACTTATTATCTTTTTATTCTTCTTAAAAGTATTCTTCTTAAAAGATGAATAAGTCAATATTTTCTGTTCCTAAAAATCTTCTGCTCTACTTAATCACAATACAATAATTTGAATTGTATCTGTAAAATTATTATATATCTAGTAAAACTCGAAACTCTTAATTTTTGAGTGCGTAGCTCCACGAAGCGCATCGAAATTGCAACTTTGTTCCACGCATCAAAGTCATCATGACAATTGCATCGCGATATGCAGAGGCGAAAGTATAATTTGATGATTATGACACGTATCCCTCACAGTCACGACGATTGTCGAGTTGCTACATACGTATGGTCACGCAGTTAGCGATGTAATGGAACGTCGAATGGTTCAGAATAAGCGGGCTAATTGTGTGCAGGTTTCACTTAGTGTGTCGACGCTCGCACCGACGATGCGTAAAAATCACGTTACGCCTGTCGGTCACCAAAAGGGAAAGGTTGTTTTAAGTGTGTCAACATCGAGATTAGCCTTTATCGTGAAGTACCTAATTAACAACCTGCTTAATATATGCATTTCGAAATTACCTTTATATTATCGATAGCTCGAATCATACACGTATCTTACCATACAGATATATTTGTATACAGTAAATTTGTGTATTGAGGCTAGTGATGTAAAAATGTAGAAAATATCTAGGCTATTTTAACATATTTACCCTAGGAACACATAAAAGTCAACAGAAAATCAAAATGACTTTATTTTGATTCTTAACATCCATAAATAATCACATTTTGTAACAAAAAATCATCTTCTTAACTTTCATGACGTCAAAATAAAGTCATTTTGACTTTCTCTTAACTTGATGTGTTCCTTATAGGTACTCAATCTTTCCTAAAAATATTTATGATCGAAAAAGATCTTTTAACAAGATAATAAAAATATCGAGAAAATATTTTATGTTTAAAAGTTTGTCGTGTGCATAATAATTATTGATTAAATATATGTGAAACACCATCCGTTTTATAACGGTGAAATATCCCGGAAGCATAATCGTAAACTTATCAGACAATTAGA